TTCCTAAAAATAAAAAGATCCAGATTATTGCAATAACAATTAGCTTGACAAAATAAAATAATAAAGTTGTATCTGTTCACCAACCAACTATTGCCATAACTGTGTTATAAACTCTGATCTTATAAAAACTGATATTAAAAACTCAGATTTTACAAACTATAATCTAACAAACTCTGCTATTATAAACTCAGATCTTATAAACTCTGATAATATAAACTCTAACATTATAAACTCAGATCTTATAAACTCTGATATTATAAACTCTAATATTATAAACTCTGATATTATAAACTCTGATCTTAAAAACTCTAATCTTATAAACTCTGATATTATAAACTCTGATATTATAAACTCTGATATTATAAACTCTAACATTATAAACTCTGATCTTATAAACTCTAATCTTACAAACTCTGATATTATAAACTCTAATATTATAAACTCTGATATTATAAACTCTAATCTTAAAAACTCTAATCTTACAAACTCTGATATTATAAACTCTAATATTATAAACTCTGATATTATAAACTCTAATATTATAAACTCTGATATTATAAACTCTAATCTTAAAAACTCTAATCTTACAAACTCTGATATTATAAACTCTAATATTATAAACTCTGATATTATAAACTCTAATATTATAAACTCTGATATTATAAACTCTAATCTTAAAAACTCTAATCTTACAAACTCTGATATTATAAACTCTAATATTATAAACTCTGATATTATAAACTCTGATATTATAAACTCTGCTCTTACAAACACTGATATTAAAAACTCTGATCTTATAAACTCTGATCTTATAAACTCTGATCTTATAAACTTGGACCTTATAAACTCTGATATTAAAAGTCTGATTTTATAAATTCTAATCTTATAAATTTTTATCTTATATACTGAGTATTACTCTAAGTATCTGAGTATTACTCTGATATTATAAACTCGGATCTTTATCCTCAGATCTTATAAAATCGAATCTTATAAACTCGTACCTTATAAAAATTGTTTTGAAAATTGAAAGAAAAACGCACCTTACTTTATATTATGATGCTTAGTTCGCTTAGATGCTTAGTCAAATCATATGAAAAAAGACTTAATAAATTATTATTGTAAAGATTATTTACTAATATAGTTAAGTATTCATCAAACTGCTTGTCCACAGCAATGACAATACCATGGCAATCTACAGTTCTTTTTAGAAAAGACAAAATCTGGAATGTTTTCACACATTCTGTGGAACCACTGTTGACAGTGATTACACTGTGCCATTTGTTTCTCTTTCAGTTGATTTTCCACAGGATTCCATGGCATTCTACAACTGCAAAAAAGTTCAATACAAATGTCCTTTTGAAAGCATCTTTTACAATCTGCCAACAATTGAGGAAAAGAAGAAACTTGGTTAACCTGAATGCAATGCAACATGTGTGCCCTCATCTCTGGTATAGAGAATGTTATATTCTCTGGGTTTGTTTTTGTGCTAATAATATGATATATAAAAGAAATAGCAAAGACACCACAATCAGCCCCATTTGACTGTTGTTGAACCGGTAATGCATGAATAGTTAATTTTTTTTGTGTGCATTTCATGATGGCACATATCTGTCGTTTTGTATGATTGGCAACTTTACCATGAAACAGACTGTCCATCAAGAAAACCTCACCAGGTTTACATCTATATGTTGAAATGGCAACCCAGTGACTATGACCATCATGCAAAACCTGAACGAATGGTATGTTACTGTAAGTATTAAAAGCAAGATTTTGTCCAAGAATAGTGTCCTGCAGACCATTGATATCTTTGAACTGGATTTTCATCATGCTTTGAAATATATTCATAACATTATCAGATAGCCATCCATTATTTGATATATCTGACAAATCATTTTGACAGAGACTTATATTACTACTACAGTTTTTTTTACCTGTATTTGTACTTTCATCAGTACCTGTATACTCATCATCACTGTAAACAATAATCTGTTTATCTTTAAACTCTAATAAGTTTTTATAGTCTAACAAATTATCATTTATTACTTCAGTTTCTACAGGTTTTTTTTCTGGTTTAAACGTTACCTCAATTTTAGAAGCAGCCAATAATTTTTCTTTTTTTTCTCCTACTCGTTTAAACTTTGTATTTTTTCGCTTTGGTGCTGGCAGCTTATGATATTTAATATGACTTTTTCGCAAATGTGTTAATTTTGCATTATTAGGCAAAAGTGGCAAGCAACTTTCTTTAGGCACAGTTTTTTTTACATTTATGATGATCTTATTCAAATCATTATATGTGTTTTCAAGCAAATTCTCGTCATGTTGAATTAGAAAACTGAGACTTTGTAATTCACTCAAAAGGCTTCTTATTGTTTTACTTGTAATAGGTTTCTTAACTGTATTTCTTACTTTTTGAGCATCTGTTATCAGTAACCCTTCACTGTCTTCATTTCTGTCAATACTGGGTTCTTTATGCTCATTGTTGGAAATTTCACTTGCAGAAGTAGTTGTATTTAGTTTATCATTAGGTATTTTTGTCTTTGCTTTATTGAACTCAAAATCAATATCTAGATTCAGATACGGAGACATTCTATATAAAGGAGAGATCGATTCCCAGTTCCAACATGGATATTTTTTAAAAACAACAAAGAAATGCTTGCAAGGATAACATGACCTTTTCCAATCTATGCAAGTACAACTAGGCATTTCGGTTTCATCACCAAAATCTATTACATAATTTCGCTCTTTGTTGTCTTTGTAATAACGCAACGAAAATTTTCCACATCCTTTAACTTGTATTCCTGTAATGTCTATACTCTCTGCAAGTGATTTCTTAATAAGACAATGTTTCACCATAGGCCAAGGACGATCTATCATCCAACAATCAATATCATCAGCATAACGCATATATTTAGAGCTCATTAACTGATTGCTGTCAATATAGCTATAAGAAAATTGCTTTGTTATGGAATATTTAAAAATTTATCCAAAATAAATTTTATTATAATTTTAACATACCTCGCATACTTATCACAAAGAAAATCCTCAATTACTACAGTTAACATCCTAGTGAGAGAACTATGCCGATGATTTGAAAGATATTTATGTTTTAGAGTTTTGTGCTGTCGCTCAACACCATTGTTTGTATTACAATTGACCAATAAACGGTTATGACGATATGCTGTTACCCAACGCTGATTATAAAAATATATTTTTTTAAATTGTGGTTTTCTTAAAAGCAGTTGCATGTGCAGTCTTGTGTAAGTACATTTATAGTACACAAGTACAAAATAATTTAAAAAAATGTGAGTTACGTTTAAATTACAAACTACCAAGATCAAACTTACATGTTTTATTGTTAACCAATATCTTGATATATAGTTTCTTAAAACTTCATTATTTTTCCAAAATGAAGAATTTTTTAAATTTAGTATTGCAGACTCACATATCTCATATGTATCTGCATGTGCTACTATTCTGAGTAGGCTTAAAACTTTTAGCCTATCTTCCATTAAGCCATTACATTTAGTTTTTAGCCATCGATCCCACGCCTGCTCACGATGGAAATCACATATAAATACAACACAGCCTGAAATGGACATGGATAAAAAATAAATAATTTCTTGCTTATTTCTACTTCCTTTTAATGCAAACAAAATATAGTAAATATAAATGAACTTTTATTTTATTAATCTGATTGATATGATAAATATATATATGTAAATTCCCACCTTCAAAAACCTTCTCCAAACTGTTAATTTCTTCAACGCAATAGTCTGACATTCCATATTTAGGATTTAGATCATTATTCCAAGACTTTATTAATAATAGAGCCTCACTTATTGACTCCTCAGTTTCATTCTCACAAACAAATAAACCAACCACTTGATAATCTATATTTGTTTTTACCACAAAAAAGAAAAGTGGCAAAGCATAACGAGTGGTGCGATATGTAGCATCCAACAACACCAGTTCATTACCATATTTGCTAACAACCTTTTCTGCCATGCATTTTGATAAACAAAAAGAAATGAAGTTTCTTTTGTTCCAGTTAGTCTAACAGTGTCATCATCATAGTCACTGTCTATATCAACGTCTTCCATGAAATGCCCTGAAATTCAAAAATAATGGTTAAATCAACAGAGAAAATGATTTCGTCAGCTGAGAACCAAGAGGAAGTATGTCCAATTTTTGCAATTCCGAGAAAATCGAGTTTTAAACTTTTATTTATAAAGGCTTCCTGCTAGAAAGCCGCACTAATCATTTAAATATTTCCTTAAGTTTTATTATTCTTGTGACTAGATTGAGTAGATATACACTACAAGCCTTCTTAGGAGATGTGTGCGGTTTTTCATCTTGTTTGTCCATGCTTAAGTTTTTTATTTAGACAACTTGATCGCGGCCGTTGTCAAGTTTTATTATATTAGGCGTTTTAATACTTTGTGTCAAAAAGTAAGTTTTTAAAATAAAGAAAGCAAAACTAACAAAATATAATCACAAATTTGATCTTTATAAATAGAACTTAGATCTTAATAAATAATTTTATTTGATGCAATACGCTTTTAAATAAAGTTCTTATGTAACAATTTATTTCTGTTTACAATAAAAACATCCAAATTAAAGAATAAATATTTTCATCATTACAATAATAAATTTTAAATAATATAACAAATAAAAAAACTTTTTATAAAACCACGTTTTTGTAATGAACAAAAAAGTAGAAAATAATTTTCTCTTGTGGCTATAGAAATTTTTGAAAATTAATTGAGTTGATAGTAAGTGACATGAAAACTTTTGATTATGAACTCTTAATAATTACGATAATATTTTTAAAATTTTAAACGAAAAACGTGGTGCGCATCTTGTCACTTTAAATGATCATCATCGTTCTTAATTACTTTAACTATTGCTTCCTTCTTCTGTTCTTTTTTTTCGTTAAATGCACACCACATTTTTCGTTTAAAATTTTACAAATATTATCGTAATTATTAAGAGTTCATAATCAAAAGTTTTCATGTCACTTATTATCGACTCAATTAATTTTCAAAAATTTCTATAGCCACAAGAGAAAACTATTTTCTACTATTTAGTTCATTACAAAAACGTGGTTTTATAAAAAGTTTTTTTATTTGTTACATCATTTTCTTCTTTTTAGTTTTTGATGGGTGGAATTTTTTTCTTTTTCCAGCCCTTTTTTTCCTCAATCTTAAATTTTCTTCGCCTTTCTTCACTTTCTTTCATTCTATTATTCACTATTAATCACTTTATCACTTTATTATTCCACTAAATCATTTAATTTCACAAATTTTACAATTTTTAATTTTATTATTTTTTATATTTTGTAAACAACTGATTTTGTTTTTATGCTGCGGTCCACTTAGAATCACAGCGACAGTTAAATTTGGTTTTTTTGTTTGAAATTTTTTTATTTAAAGCGACGCGTCAAATTGCGGCGACGCCTCCAAAAGTTTCACCATAATAAATTTTATTTTGCTGAAATTGTTCAAGAAACTCAGCAAATCATGGTAAAAGTAGTATAATATTGCATTGTCATCGGGTTCTGAGCTATAGTAAAAGTTTCAGAGCTCTAGCTAATCGAAAAGTGGGTTAAAATTGAGTTGCAAAATTCCACCCGGACAAACAAACAAACAAGAAAACGAGCTAATAAAAACGTGGTCAAATCATTAAATTAAATAAATGTCATTTTATTTATCTTTATAGGTATATTTAAGTTAATTTGAAAACCATTTCTTTAATCTATTTTATTTCCATATTTTTAATGCGATTTTTAATAATCTTGAAAAACACAAATTGTGGACATACAGCCTCTTGGTTCTCGGCTGAAAATTTGTTGAAAGACTTTTCATAAAAAGATCATTATAAACCTTTGGGTCTAAAGAATATATGTATAGCAGGATCTGCTTCTTTCCATTTTTTAATCTTCAACTGGAGACTTTCTTGATCTATAAGAGATTGACATAACTTTCTCCTAGAAAATGCAATATGATTTTGAATGGTTGAATTGCGAGGGAAAAATCTTTTATTTAAAGTTTCTGGGAGAACATGTCCAGGTTTATTGAAATTGTTTTTAACTTGAATATTCAATAGACGCTTCATTTCTTTTGTGCTTAATACACCTTCTTTAACAAATAAGTCAATAGCAGTTACCAGTTCAGGGTCAATTCTTTGTGAAATGCCAGAATCCTTAAAGATAGACATTTGTAGGTATTAATGTATAATCAAAAAGAGGCAAATGCATTAATAGAAGATGAAGCGTAAAGAATAAGTTACAAATACCTTGGCAACCATGTGACCGTTGTGTGATAAAATATCTGGTATAACAATACAAAACTTTCTTATTTTGTTGATTTCCTTATTTGCTAATGATGTTAATGCATACCGAAGTTCTTCTGATTTTTCTTTCCTATTTCTGACAGTATCCACTGTAAGCTGAATATCACAGTTTAACACATACATTTATATATAATATATACATACCTATTATAAATATATATAAATATATATAACTATATATAAATATATATAACTATATATAAATATATATATGTATATATATATATATATATATATATATATATATATATATATATATATATATATATATATATATATATATATATATATATATATATGTAAATTATTAGAAATCACTTATCAATTTAAATTTTTTTACACAATGTTTCGTCGATAAAGACTCTTCAGAAATGAATGCTAAATTTAATAAACTTCAATTTATACCAAAAATTAAATTACAGGAAGTCTAAATATTAACTAATGCAACTTTTTTCACACTTATGTAAAAATTACACATTAGTGAAACTAATTAAAGTCACTAATGTGAATGATTTCACAATAGTGTAAAATTATATAACATTATAAAAAGAATTCTTTAGAAGTGTTTATTTTTTTATATACATATATTTTTTTTATCTTTATTATTATTTTTTTTTAAATGGGGAATATTATTATAATTTCATTTGTTTTTATAATTTTTCAAGAGAAATTTATTTTCATGTCTACATTTTGATATCAATTCTGTATATATATTATATATATATATATATATATATATACATATATATATATATTATATATATATATATATATATTATATATATATATATATATATATATATTATATATATATATATATTATATATATATATTATATATATATATATATTATATATATATATATATATATATATATATATATATATATATATATATATATATATATATATATATATATATATATATATATTATATATATATATATATATATATATATATATTATATATATATATATATATACTATATATATATATATATATATATATATATATATATATATATATATATATATATATATATATATATATATATATATATATATATATATATATATATATATATATATATATATATATATATATATATATATATATTTATATATATATATATATATATATATATATATCTGTGTGTGTGTGTGTGTGTGTGTGTGTGTGTGTGTGTGTGTGTGTGTGTGTGTGTGTGTTATATTTCAAATCTTATGACAAACTCATTAATGAAGTGTCTTCACGTCATTAGATAATTACTAATTAAATAATAATTTTTCATTATAATACGGTTTATTGAACTAGAGATACGCTATATATAGAATCCATTTTAGAAGTTCTTTTATTGCGTTTGATATATTTTATATTTGTTAAGAGCCAATATATATATAAAAAAAAATTATTACGGTTTACAACACCCAAACACATGATAATCTTACCTTATATTCTGGAAATTCTAAGTATTCTGTTATACTAATTTGTGCTGGACAATCAAACTTTTTGCAATCTTGTATGCGAGTATATTTTCTTTTGTAGTCATGATCAAAGTTCTATTTCATAAATAATTATTTGGGAACATGTTATAAACAAATAATATTTGTTTATAACAAATATTATACAAAAAAAAAATCATAAAATATTGTTCTAAAAACAAAAATTATTTAGTTTTTTTATAACAGTATATATATATATATATAATGTCAGGTCAGGTTATCCTTATGTCAAGTCAGGTTATCCTGCTACTGGTAACATGAAATCCAGTACAGCCTGCTTCATGTTAACATCAAGAAGGGCATCCGGTTGTAAAACATTGCTTCAACTCTCTCATAATGATCTCATAATCTCTCTTTTTTTTTTCCAGTATTTTCTTAACCTCTTTTTGAGGTTGTGCAATTTTTTTTTTAAATATTATTGCAATTTAAAAAAAAATTGCTTAACTAAAATTGTTTACTGCTTTAAATCACCTAACGCTTACGTAAATCGCTCTATGGTTAACGCTTTAAAAAAAGGCCTGTATATATATAAATCCTACTATTGCTTTTCTCTTTTGCTTGTTAAATTCTTTCAGATTCAAGTTTCTGTCACGTCCATTCTGACAATCAAGTATTTTTGTGCCAATCATCATAAATGGTAAACCAGAAAATTCAATGGAATCTGTTGACCAAAATACTTTGTGGTTTTTTTCCTTTAGATCTAAAGAACAATAATTTCATAACTTTCATAACATAATTTCTTATACATATATATACAGATACAAACATATACATAAATATATATAAGTAATAAAAATAACAATAATAATCACAATATTATTTAAAACAACAATAATAATATAAATATATTTCATACAACAGTCACGTACAATTTAGGTGCTGGGTCCATAGGTTTAATAAATATATACCTTATTTTAAACTTTGATTAAGTTTATGCATGGAATTATTCACCTAGGCTCAATCCATTAACTGTTTACGAAAAACATGTTTGTTTAAGATAATTTAAGTTAAGTTTTAAATAATTGTATAAAAAGATGGTAATCAGTGCTCTAAAAGCATGAGAGATATACTATCATACTTGTTGTAACCAAAAAATATTGCAGCACATTTGTTGTAGCAATACTGAAGGCCTGCCATTTTTTTTTTCTTATAATTTTGCCACAGAGGAGCACCATATAAACAAACGCAATATGATTTAAACAATTCAACCATTACTCTGGTAGAGCATAAATAAAAGTCTCCAATTAGTATATTTGGAAGTGTAAAAAGACCCTTCATCTCATTGGTTATATCAAGACCATAAGTTAGGCCTTTTTTAATTTTATGACCAATGTATTAAAAAGATTCAAGAAAAAGCAATTTTACAGTTTGATAAGCATAAATCTGGGAAGGAGTTTGATATAATTTTTGATTTGGGCTAAACACCATTCATACAGTTTTCTTAGTGTTACAGGACATGTATTAGATTTTTTTTTTTAAATTAGAACCATATCATTAGCATATGCCAACACATTGATGAAGATGCTACATATATAGCATCCAATACATAGGTTAAAGATTGATAACATTAAATTGTGTATGTAAATGTTAAACAAATTTAGCAAGAATATATATATATATATATATATATATATATATATATATATATATATATATATATATGCATATAACAATATTAGACAGTATTATTTTGTCTCTTCAGTAACGTAGTAATTTTTATGAGACCCAATCTTAGCAGTAAAACTAGAAAACTTTGTTAGAAAAATTTGTTGTGTCAAATAAATAAATATATATATGTGTATATATATATATATATATATATATATATATATATATATATATATATATATATATATATATATATATATATATATATATATATATATATATATATATATTTGTCTGTGTGTAATATACCTGTATTTCCAAAGCCTTTGGTAGAGAAAGATGTACTAAATCGAACTATATACTCAAGTTCATGGTCTTTAATAAAATTGTGTGCTTCTTCTAAACTCAATGCAGTTTTAAAAAGCGCCATAATAAAAAAATATGAATTTCTAAACATAATAAACAAAATATTCTGAATTGGTTTCCTAATTAGGTGGCATTATTGTTTTTTAAAATAAATATTAATAAGATATAATATATATCAATAAGATATTATTAGGATATATTTAAAAAAATTATTAATTTGATTCGCTAATTATGAGGAAAAATGGTAGTCATTATTGTAGGCTGACCAGATTTTTCTAAAAGAAAAAGAGTAGTAATTTTAAAAAATTTCAGTGTTTTTTTATGTCAACCGCAAATTATTTTTTTACTGTTTATGTAAACAGATCAAAAAATTTTGAAAATGCAGCTAAATCTTTGTATAGTCAATATATTCTGTAATAGAAGTTACCATACTCGATACTTTAATCATGTAATGATTTATGTATCAAATATAGTAACTTCTATTACAGAATAAATTGATGTCATATCATAAAACTAATATTTATACGAGATGTTTTAGAGATAATCTCTGAATTCTCTATAAATAAAAGAGAGTAACAAAGATTTTAACCCAAAAATAGTATAATACTCTAAAAAAGAGTATGTCTAGCTAGCCTAATTAGGTTAACCAGACCTTTTTACAATAATTTAGCTAACTTATTACAATAATTTAGCTAAATTATTGTAATATTATAATAATTACATACAGGAATAGGTAATAACACAGCTTATCCAGTAAACTTCTACAATTTATTTTTATAAAGATAGTAACAATAGTAACTTAAATATTACAGCAATATTGTAACATTTACAAAAAGTGTCCTCTTACGACAATTTCAATTTCATAAAACATGGTTTTATGAAATCTCTGTCTATGAAATTTTATGAAATCGCTGTCTTTGTTTTATGAAATCTATCGTTTATGAAACCGCTTACTACAATTACGGCAACCGTTTATAATTTGAAAACGAGGCGTACTTTTGACTTCTATTATATATTGTTTACCTTAAATCTTATACAAAAACTTAAACTACTGACTAAGATTAATTATTTTGTTAGTAATAAGTTATTACATACAAATAAGAGTTATATAATAAAACTATATTATAAACTATAAGGATTTTATTCTTTTAAAGTAATCTAAACATATGTACTTTGACTAAACGTCAACTGAATCAAATTGCAATGAAGTGTTATTATTAGGTTTTTAAATAAATCGCATTTTGAGGCACATTTTCTTTTCAATTCAAAAAGCGCTTGTCAAAATTAATTATATTTTCTTTCAATTAAAAAAAAATCACTTTTTAAAATCTTTTAAATTTTAAATCACATGAATAAGCACGTGAATCATTAACAATACCTCATCGTAGTTAAAATAAATTTAAAATTTTTATTTAAACTTTATCTAACAAACGATTAAACTTTTTTAGTGGGTTTTTTAGAGGGATTCTTTTTTTTTTTTATATATGATTTTGAAACGTGTAGATTTTTTTATAAAAGAAGAAGTCGTTATATTGTAAATTAAGTTTAAAACATTTTAAGCACTGAGTGGAAGAACTGATTGTAGAAAATTAACTGATTACAGAAAAACAATTCAATATCTTTTTACTTTTTATTAATTTATTTCCTTTTTTTAAACATATTTATTACTAAAGATTTCTTATTATTTGTATATAAGAAGTCTGGTGTTTTATTATTATTATTTCCTTGCGATTGAAGTATGCTCCGAATATAGTTAAAATAAAATTCATTTATATTTTTCAAAAGTTGGTGGTTAACAGGTAATAAAATGTTTACTGAAATAAGTTGGCTAGCAAAAGTGTCGGATAAATGTCGGTTTATTTTGTAAAATTACTACAAAAAAAACCGAAACGCTAAAATAAATAACGCCCATGGGATTTCAGTTATGGTGGCGCCTTTGATCTGTAACAACGCGTTAAACGTTTATCTATTTGTATATCTTAGGTGAATTGAAGCGAAATTTTATTATCCATTATGTATTTAAATGTATAAGTGCATGTCTAAAAAAGTTTACGCATTGTTTAACAGCTTTTAAATATAGTTTTCTACTTTTTATTTGACTTCTTTTTCTTATTATTATTATTGTTAAAATTTTATTATAACTATTTTTTTTTTTTTGATGAAAAAATATGTAGTTTTTTATTCATAGATACGGTTAAACTGACGTAATATTATAGAAATATAAAAAAATCGAGAAGAGCACGCCCCCCTTGTTAACATCTTCCCTCCTTGTTAACATCTCTTTGTAAATTTCGAATTTTTTCCCGATATTACTATAAAGTTTTCCGGATTTTTTCCGGATAATGCAAAAAAGTTTTCCGGATTTTTTCCGGATATTTAAGAAAAAAAAATTTCCGGATTTTTTAAATATGGTCAGGATAATCTATGGAAACACAAAATGCAAATAATTCTTATGAATTATTCCTCACGTTTTTTAGTAAACAATAAAATAAGGCATTTCCTTTAATCGAACAAAATTTAAATTCTAAGTCTATTTTAAATCCGTGGATGACAAAAGGTTTAATCAAATCTTCAAAGAAAAAACAAAAACTATATGAAAAATATCTACGACATAAAACATATCACAATGAAATAATATACAAAAACTACAAAAATTTGTTTGAAAAACCAAAAAATTTTCAAAAAAATCTTATTATGAAAAGCTATTGGAAAAAAGTAATGGAAATACAAAAAAAACTTGGAATATAATAAAAGAAATAATTTGCAAAAATATTTCGATTAAAAACAATTTGCCACAAAAACTGTTAATTGATGAAAAAGTTGTTTATGATAAAGAAACCATAGCTGAAAAGCTAAACAGTTTTTTTCTTGAGATTGGTCCAAATCTGGCGGCTAAAATTCCATCTAGTACCATAAAATTTGAAACATACCTCAGAACAGCAAAAAATGTTTTGACAGAACTAAATTTAAATATAAGTGAGTTGCATAATGCCTTTTGCTCTCTAAAAAATAACAAAAGTGCAGGCATAGATAAAATTAGCGTCAATGTAGTTAAATCAGTCTTTGATATTATTGAACCCTTATTGTTTCACATTTTTAATCTCTCATTAACGTCTGGTATTGTACCAGACAAACTTAAAATAGCCAAAATCACACCGATTTTTAAGTCAGGTGAAAAAACAAATGTTTCTAACTATAGACCTATTTCTGTATTACCTTGTTTCTCTAAATTGCTAGAACGCATTACGTACAATACGCTTTATAATCATCTAGTATCAAATAATGTTCTGTACAACAAACAATTTGGGTTTAAAAAAATCATTCTACGGATCACGCGGTAATTGAGCTTATAAACCATATATCGGATGGTTTTGATAAAGATTATTTTACCTTAGGAGTTTTCATTGATTTATCCAAAGCATTTGACACTGTCAATCATGAAATCCTTATGAAAAAATTAAAACTTTATGGAGTAAACAACTTAAACTTACTTTGGTTTAAAAACTACTTGACTAACAGAAAACAATGCATAACCTATGAAACAAATGAAACCAAAAAAAGGCTTATAAGTTGCGGGGTTCCTCAAGGATCTATCTTAGGACCATTATTGTTTTTAGTATATATAAATGATTTATTTTTAGCATCTAAAAAATTATATCTTATATTGTTGGCTGACGATTCCAATCTGTTTTATTCACACAGAGATATAAAAATTCTCTTTAAAATTTTTAATGAAGAATTATCTAAAGTAAATGAATGGTTTATAAGTAACCGCCTTTCACTAAATGTAGATAAAACTAAATTCATCCTATTCCACAAACCAAATAAAGTTGATAAAATTCCACTTAAACTGCCAAATCTTTTATTCAATAAAACAGATGTAAAAAGGGAATCTACTGTTAATTTTTTAGGCGTAATTCTTGATGAAAATTTGTCATGGAAGTTTCACATCCAATCTATTGAAAGTAAAATCTCTTATAATATTTCCGTACTTTATAAAACAATACCATTTTTAAACGCAAAAGCTCTAATGAAAATTTATTTTTCATTTATTCACAGCTATCTTTCTTACTGCAACATTGCATGGGGAAGTACGAATTACGGAAAACTCAAAAAACTTTATAGTAAACAAAAGCATGCTTGTAGGATTGTATTTGGGGCAAACAGAACTGTTTATTGCGAACCACTATTAAATCGTCTCAAGGCCTTAAACATTTATAAACTAAACATTTACCAAACATTACTTTTCATGTTTAAAATGAAACATGGAATATCTCCACTTATATTTCAATCTTATTTTAGCGAAATATCTCATAAGTATCCAACAAAGTTTTCAGAGGATAACTTTATTGTTCCGAGAATAAATTTAAAAAGTTCTTATCAAATTAAATATCGAGGACCTTTTTTATGGAAAAATTTTATTAAAAACTTTAATAAAGAACACTACTCTTTAGATAAAATTTAAAGCAGTTTCTAAAAGAATCTTACTTCAATTAGATTTTAATTCAATAGACTTTAGGTATTTTTTTTAAAAGGAAATTTTAAAATAGAAAAAACGCTCCCATTATCACTAAATATATTTTGTTATATGTATCAAGTATATTTGTATTAGTATACAAAACTTTCTTTATTTTTAAATTTTAATATAAATGTCATTTTATTATTTGACAAAAGTTATGTACTCTTTAACGTTTTTTTGTATATTTTATTTATATTTGTTTATAAACACGGGCAGTTTGTAATCGGGGCTCGGTGATAAGACAGTCATTGTCTTCTTTTTGCTCCGGCCAATTTTTATAAATGTAATATGTCTATATTGTAAATATATAAAATGGCAAAAAAAAAAAAAAAAAAACACGTCGGGAAAAAAACCTTGAAAAGTATACATGATGATCATAATGAAATTTTCAGGGATTGTTCATTTTACCAATGTTTATGATATGAGCGAAGTAGAATTTCTCATATGACTAAAGATTTATTTGGTTTTTTCTTTGTATTTTGACCTTTTTTTAAATAACCTAACTTATCTGTAGCCTTTTATCAAAAAAAAAAATTTTATTCAAAAGTCTGCTTCGCTCA